AGAACCGGCAGGGTCATACGTTTACATGTAGGTGTTAATTCTGCAGTTAGTTTTCAGGGAACATTGTTCACAGATTATATGTCGTTAGACGTTGCTTATAACGTTAGACTGACCGCAAAAGCGGTAAAAAAACACTTGCAATAGCGGCATTATCATGATGAACTCATTCAGTAGCGAACTTGAGTTAAATGTGACTTACACTTTTCGTTGAAAAAAGCTCTTTATGTCCACCTTTTTTTTATCGCCATCCTCTCTGGTGCATGTCACACACCTCAGCGCAGTAGTTTTGGCGCTGCTTGTATTTGAAAGCAGTCTGTCACATGATAGCAGAGAAAGGCACAGCCAATCACAATGTTCATATGTGTCTGGGAGGCGGTGCGACTCGAGGAGAGAACGTGATTGAACCCTTTCGGCATGTCTAGGTTTATTGACAGCGCAATGTTTTTTCTGTGAATTAAATTACTGGTGGGGACATTTCAGTAGTTGGTGGTCATCCACCCTAAATCTACGTCCCTATCAAACCGTATATTGTATCGACAGACGTTAGACCAACCGGCTTGATCCTAGCTCAGACCGGGCTGGGTGCAGTAGGATCGATGGGTTATATATAGATATCAGTCATTTTCTTTTCGGCTTGCAAACTCCACACAGAAAACTGACCCAGTCGAGGCTCGAACCTGCAACCTTTTTGCTGTGAGGCGATTGTGCTACCCACTGCACCACCGTGACATCACAATATTTAATTTAATATTAAATATGAAAATATTTAAGTATTTTGAGCAAATAGTTTAGCAATGCTTCAACAACAGGTTGAGGAGTTAATTAATTCCAGTTGTAAAGCAGCTCTAGAGTTGATGTTGTGATTTCAGTGTTGTGAAATCCATCAGTTGCGAAAGAGCCCCAGTTTTTAGGGTGTTTTGGTCAAAAGAGTCAAGACGTGCTGTTCTTGGTGAATTCGATCAGTGTGTGTGTGTGTGTGCGTGTGTATTGTATCCCTTGCATTGTGAGGACCAAATGTCCCCACAAATATAGTAATACCAGTTATTTTTGACCTTGTGGAGCCATTTTGTTCTCTGTGATGAAAACGGCTACTAAATGAGGCAAAGTGTTTTGTGTGAGGGTTGTGTTTAGGGGAGAAGGACACAATATCCAGAGTGTACACGACACACATCATTACAGCTGTGGAGAGTCCCCGTAAAGATAGCTGTACAAGTTTATGTGTGTGTGTGTTTTAGGTGTCCTTTATGGAAATCTACTGTGAGCGTGTGCGTGATCTGCTAAACCCCAAGAGTAAAGGAGCGCTGCGGGTGCGAGAGCATCCCATCATGGGGCCGTATGTGGAGGATCTGTCCAAACTCGCCGTCACCTCTTATGACGACATCCGAGACCTGATGGACGCCGGCAACAAGGCCCGGTACATTAACACACTTTAACATACACAAACACACACACTGCACCCAGTTCACATTGACTGATGAATTGATGGACTGATCGACTGACCGAGTGATTTTATTGATTCAATGATTAAATTAGGTGACGAACTAACTGATTCATCAGTTTACTGATTCATTGATATAACTGATTCATTGAGCTGACTGATTGATGGACCACACCAATTATCAATTTGATTTATTCATCAGATTAACTGATTCATTGAATTGACTGATTGATGGACTGAATGATTGATCAATTTAACTGGTTCATTGATTTGACTGATTCATGGACTGAATGATTCATCAATAAAACTGATTCATCAGTTTAACTGATTCATTGTTTGACTGATCAACGGACTGAATGATTCATCAATTAAATTGATTCATCAATTAAACTGATTCATGAATTAAACTGATTCATTGATTTAACTGATTCATCAATTAAACTGATTCATCAATTAAACTGATTCATTGATTTAACCGATTCATCAATTTAACTGATTCATTGATTTGACTGATTGACGGACTGAATGATTCATCAATTAAACTGATTCATCGATTTTTATGGATTCATCAATTTAACTGATTCATTGATTTGACTGATTGACGGACTGAATGATTCATCAATTAAACTGATTCATTGATTTAACTGATTCATAAATTTAAATGATTCATTGATTTGACTGATTGATGGACTGAATGATTCATCAATTAAACTGATTCATCGATTTAATGGATTCATCAATTTAACTGATTCATTGATTTGACTGATTGACGGACTGAATGATTCATCAATTAAACTGATTCATTGATTTAACTGATTCATAAATTTAACTGATTCATTGATTTGACTGATTGATGGACTGAATGATTGATCAATATAACTGATTCATTGATTTGACTGATTCATGGACTGATTGATTCATCAATAAAACTGATTCATTAGTTTAACTGATTCATTGTTTGACTGATCAACGGACTCAATGATTCATCAATTAAACTGATTCATGAATTAAACTGATTCATTGATTTAACTGATTCATCAATTAAACGGATTCATCAA